CACACACACACACAGAGACAAACACACACACCTTACGCTCCTTACAATGAATGCAATATCCCAGCCTCCCATCTTTTATGGGTTTTTGCAATTGGCTTTAAATTGTAATGCCCTTGGAGAGGACACCATCTCATAGTGTAACCCGGCACGCATGCGCAGGCCAGCCAGCCAGCCAGCCACGCACCCGGGCACCTATACAACACTCGCCCAAGTCCATTTGGAGCTTCTGTTCCCCCCCCCTTTCCCCCAAGATTCAGGAAACCTCACCTTTTCCACCCAAATAAATAAATAAATCATCTGATATTTAGTTAAGTTCAGCTCCAGGTCTTTAAAGAGACATAGGCAGGATAGTTTTATATATTTGTTTTAAGACCAGCATGCAAATGACACATTTCCAGAACACGGGTTTTTTTTTGTGTTTGTGTGTGTGTGTGTGTTTTTGCAGGCCTTTCCCTGCCCCCCCCCTTTGCTAGGCTAGTGAGGGTGGTTTGCTTTTGCAAAGGGGGGGGAGCAAATCCCACCCTCCAAAGCACCTTTGGAAAAAGAGACACCTCCTCCCCCAAAGTTGCATGCTTTGCTTTTATTATTATTATTATTAATAATAATTATTAATTATTATTATTATTATTGCAAGGATGGGATGCATTGTTTCCGCGCGCCGTTTTTTGTGTTTGTGTGTGTGTTTTTTTTTTTTTGCAGGCCTTTCCCTCCCCCCCTTTGCTAGGCTAGTGAGGGTGGTTTGCTTTTGCAAAGGGGGGGAGCAAATCCCACCTTCCAAAGCACCTTTGGAAAAAGAGACACCCCCTCCCCCAAAGTTGCATGCTTTGCTATTATTATTATTATTATTATTATTATTATTATTATTATTATTGCAAGGATGGGATGCATTGTTTCCGCGCGCCGTTTGGAGGAAGGTCTCTCATTTTGGGGAAGGGGGAGTGGGAAGGAAGGAGCAAAGGAGAGGGCTCTCCGCCCCTCCCCATTGTATGCAAATCAGATACAAATAAAACCCTTAAACGCACGGCGGGATGAAACAAAAGGGGGGGGGAGAGGAGAGGGAGGGGGCGACACCTCGCGTCTCTATCTTTGCAGAACCCAGCCCGGCGTGCCCACGCGCCCTCCCCTCCCCTCTCGCAGCTACGCAGTTGCTCCTTTGGGGAGGGGGGGAAGAGGATGCATTATTTTGGGAGGGGGGGTCACAAATCTTGCATTGCAGCCCCCTCCCCTTAAAGCAAAGAGGGGGGGGGATGTTCAGCATCTCTGCGTCTCCCTGGATGCTTTTTTTTTTGCAAATATTGGGTAGGGGGGTCTTCGGGTGCCTGCGGATTGGGGGAGGGGAAGCCGCCCCGGCTTGCCCCCCCGTCCCTCCCTTCTTCCTGCCCCCCCCCCGCTGCGCAGAGTAATTTAAAGCGGCGCCTGTCACCGCGCTCGGCGTTTTATTGACTCGCGCTGCCTCCCCGTCACCCCGCGACATTAATCTCCCCGTTAATCGCCCTGCCGGAGACCCCTCCTCTTTTTCTCTCTCCCTCCCGCCCCTGCTGCAGCCCCCGCCCGTCCTGCCGGCACGCCACATGGGCTCGCTTCTCCCCCCACCCCAAAATAAAGTCCATCTTTCTTTCTTTTTCTTTCTTTCTTTCTTTCTTTCTTTCTTTCTTTCTTTTTTTCTTTCTTTCTTTCGTCCTTCCTTCCTTCCCTTTCCTTTCCCCTCTTTTGTTGCAGCGGCCAGCCCGGCCTCGCCCTTCCCCTTCTTCTCTCGGTCATCCCGGCTTTCTCCTTCTCCCCCCCCCTTCTTCATCCTTCGCCCAGGAATACGCGCTTCCTCTCCTCCTCTTCCCCCCTCCACACGTATCCGTGGGGCTTGCACCCGTGTTCCCGTGGCTCAGGCAGTGCCTGCTTGGCGCCCCCTTCGACCGTGTGTGTGTGTGTGTGTGTGCACGGTGCGTGCATGGGTGTACGGTGTCCATACGGTGCGCGCATAGGTTGCACGCCTGCACATATAGCGCACGCCTGCATGGACGCTGTACATACGGTGCGTGCGCGGAAGCATAACATGCACCGAGCATGCATGCATGCACCCATATCACGCATTCAATGCATGTGTACCGCACCTGGTGCGGTCACGGATGCACAGCGGTTCCATGCGCGGGTAGCGTTACACATACAGCGCGCAGACATGTTTGCTGCTTACGAGGCACGGCGCTGCATGCCTGCAGGCGCGGGATGCACAGGTTGCACACACGCAACATGCAGGCTGTGCAGCCTTGCCTCCGCAAGGTGCAGAGGCTTCCCGCCCGCGCGCGCGTCTCTAGAATAAAGGCAGAGGTCCCATTCGCACGCGCCGCTCGGCGAGAGAGTTTCGCTACTTATTTTCGCGTGTCTTTCCCCCCCACATCCCACCCGTATCGGATTTCCCCTGCCTCTTTGCAACGGCCTTTTTTGCACGTGGCTCTTGCACGCGGCGGGGAGGCGTACACACACACACACACGCGTGTGTCTGGGTGTCTTGCCTTTCCCTCATCGCTGCTTCTCCCGCTTTCTCTCCGTCCTCCTCCCGCCTCCGCCACGCGCGCGCTTCCCCCCTCCCCGCGCGCCCCCTCCCACCTTTGTATGTCTGCCTCCCCGCAATAAATATGCAGCAGCCCTTTAATTACGCCTCCCGCCTCCTTTTCTCCTTAATGAGACAATTTGCATCGACTAACCACCCTGCGGAAGGGGGAGGGGGGGAAGAAAAGGGAGGGGGGAGGAAAGAGGAAGCGAGCACAATTTGCTCTTTCTCCCCCCCTCCTCCTCCCCAGTTCTTCCTCGCTCCACCAAGTGGAGGAATGAACAGAAAAGGGGCGGTGGGTTTAATAAGGTCTTTTTAAAAATATCTATCTATCTATCTATCTATCTATCTATCTATCTATCTATCTATCTATCTATCTATCTATCAAGACTGTAATGTGGAAAGGGGTTGGGGAGGGGGGGGCTCCAGGCAGTATCCCGGAATCAGGACCACCACCACCCCGCGAAATTGCATAGGGACACCCCCTCCCCACCGGGCTGAGGCTGCTGGGTCGTGTAGTCCGCAAGCATGCGATGCATCTTGTACATCTTGCTTGCTAAAGGGATTGCGTAGGGCAGGTTTGCGAGAGTCTTCCCTAAATCTCCCTTCTTTAGTTCCCAGCCTTGGGGGGAGGGGGGGTGAGATAGAATAAAATAGAATAGAATTAGAATAGAAAATATGGAATGGAATGGAATGGAATAAAATAGAATAGAATAGAAAATATGAAATGGGAATAGAATAGAATGGAATTACAATAGAATTATAATAGAAAATATGGAATGGAATGGAATAGAAAATATAGAACAGAATAGAATAGAAAATATGAAATGGGAATAGAATAGAATAGAAAATATGAAACGGGAATAGAATGGAATAGAATAGAGTTGGAAGGGACCTTGGAGGTCTTCTAGTCCAGCCTCCCCCCCACCCGCTTAAGCAGGATGGGAGGGGGTGTCAGAAGATGGCCATGTCCCAAAATCTCATCCTTTAACATCTGGAGCAAAGTTGAGATGATTTTAAGCAAGCATGGGCAGGATCCCAGGGATGCTTCTTTGGTTGAGCAACTGAGCCGCCAAACCACCATTTAAAAATAAACCAAGTTTGCAAATGGCTCACGTGTTGTGTCAATAATGCTGGATAATCCCCAGAATTTAGCCCCGTCTCGAAATTCACCTTTTCCTGACCATCCAACGGTGGGCGTTATTAAGAGGTGGGATACCTTCACCCAGTATTTAACCAACTCATTACAGGGAGTCCTCGTCTTAACGACCACCGTTGCAAAGCAAGACGGTTGTTAAGTGAGTTTTGCTCCCTTGGGCGACCTCCCGGGCCGCTGCGTTTCAGCGATTCGGTCATTAAACGAATCGCCCCCTCCCCCCCATGTGACTTTGCTTATTGGGAGCCTGCTGGGAAGCTGACAGATGACGATTGCATCACAACCGTCATAAGTACATGCCAGTTGCTAAGTGTCCGAATTTTGATCACATACGGTTGTTAAGTGTGAAAACAGTCCCTTTGTTCAGTGCCTGGTCGCTAAACGAATGATTGTAAGGACCATGTGTAAAAGACCCTGTAGAAAGGCAGATGAGAATTTGATTTTAACCTGTTTCTTTTTTTTTTTTTAAGCGGCCGAGTGCAGTGATTCAAATCGCCCCGCATCTTGCAAGAAAAATAGAAAAAAAATCTCAAGATTGAATGGTTTGGATTATAATGTGTTTAGGAAAGGGGAGGCTGAGGTATTTGCTGATGGACAGTTAGATTAAGAGCAATTTTAGCAATCGCGAAACAAACAGCCGTATCGGAGGAAATGGCTTTGAATACACCTTGTATTATTAACACACACACACACACAGACACACACACACGGGAGCCATATTGGACGAACAGGGAAATATAAAACCCAGACGGACTCAGGGAAAAAAAAAACACACCCCAATTTTCAAAATGACAAGCTGTCCGTCTCACCGGCTTGTCAAAATTCACCTTTCATTCGCCTTTGAAAGTAAGAAATAAAAGAAAGAAAGCAAAGGCAAGCGAGTTCTACGCCAGTTTGGTCAAAAAAAAAAAAAAGTCAAAATGGAGGCTGCAGTCGTGAGGGGAAAAGTTCACGCTTGGTCCTTAGTTGTTTTGTGTGGGGGGTTTTTTTGGACGGTGTTTGCAGGCCCTCCGATAAAAAACAAACGAATTGCAGTTCTGCAGATAGTCCTCGGCTTGACGACTATTCGTTTAGCGGCCGTTTGAAGTCACAAGGGGCACGGAAAAAAGGGACTTTATGACCCGTTCCTCCCACTTAGGACCCTTACAGATAATCCTTGACTTACAACAGTTTCGTACTATCCAAAGTTACAACGGCACTGAAAAAAAGGGACTTATGGCCATTTTTCACACTTAACGACCGTTGCAGCATCCCCACGGTCAAGTAATCAAAATTCAGATGCTTGGCGACTGACTCGTATTTATGACGGTTGCAGTGTGCCGGGGTCATGTGATTGCTCATCTTCTGACAAACAAAGTGTAGAAGCCAGATAACGACGGGGTTTACTAACAATGGCAGGGATTCAGTTAATGACCATGACAAGAAAGGTTATAAAATGGGGCAAAACTCAACCGTCTTGCTTAGCAATGGAAATTCTGGGTTCAGTTGAAGTCGTAAGTCGGGGACTGCTTTTGCTCAGTTTTAGATTCATCTGGACAATCCTAGGAAGGGCTTTAAATCCGGAGTGGGCAATTAATTTTTCCCAAAAGCCGCAAGGGAAACTGAGGTGGTCATGAATAATCCTAAACCGAGAAACTGAACTGAATTCTGCTCAAGGTTAATTTTATCACTTTATAAAAAGGATAAACTACAGGCGGTCCTCGACTTAGTATCACGTTTGTGCCCAACATTTCTGTTGCTAAATGAGATATATACGTTAATTGAGTTTTACAGCGTTTACGGTCCATTTTCCCGCCCTTTTTTTGCCACAGTAGTGAATCCCTGCAGTTGTTAAGTTATTGACACGGTTGTTAAGTGAATCTGGCTTCCCCCATTGACTCTTCTTGTCACATGGTCGCAAAAGGGGGTCACGTGACCCCGGGATGCTGCGACTATCATAAATATGAGCCAGCCGCCAAGTGTCTGAATTCGGATCACGTGACCCTTGGGGATGGTACAACGGTCGTAAGAGTGAAAAACAGTTGTAAGTTACATTTTTTCATTGCCGTAACTTTGAACAGTCACTAAACAAACTGTTGTTAAGTCGAGGACTACCTGAAGAACTAAGGAACTGTGCGTAGGAGTGAAAATACACAGGTCTGAACACCTTGCGGACAATCAGAAAATATACACCTCGTATAACAGTGTTGTACAACTTGTACAACAGTGGGCCAGTCCTCATCTTATCAGTTGTCAGTGGGTGTTAATTTGCATTGCAAATCTCTGTAAGGAACAGTTTTTTCCCCTACAGGCAGTCCTCAACTTACGACAATCGCTACCAGAAAAACCGTTGTTAAGCAAGGCGGTTGTCATGCGAGCCGTGTCTCATTTTACAACTTGCCACGGTTGTTAAGTGAATCAGTGCCGTTGTTAAGTTAGTATTCCGGTTGTTAAGTGAATCCGGCTTCTCCATTCCTTGTCGGAAGGTCGCAAAAGGGGATCACGTGACCCTTGGGACACAGCAGTCCTCCTAAATACAACTGGTTGCCAAGTGTCTGAATTTTGATCACGTGACCAAAGGTGGTAACTCTGAAAAACGGTCGTACGTCGCTTTTTTCAGGGCCATTGTAACTTTGGACGGTCACTAAACGAACTGTTGTAAGTTCGAGGACTACCTGTATTGGAAAATCCATTATTAAGCAAGGCGGTCGTGATGTGAGCCGTGTCTGGTTTTACAAGCTTGCCACAGTTGTTTCCCCGTTGACTTTACTTCTCAGAACGTCGCAAAAAGGGACGACACTGCAACCGTCATAAATATGAGTCAGTTGGGAAGCATTTTGATTACGTGACCGTGAGGGTGCTGCAACGGTCGTAAGTGTGAACAATGGCCATAAGTCCCTTTCTTTCAGTGCTGTTGTAACTTTGGATAGTCACGAAACGAATTGTTGTACGTCAAGGGTTATCTGTAACACTTCCTAAGATTCCTGTGTTCCTCGGACAGATTGCTAGCTGTATTAGCCACAACGCTAAATGCGTATTAGAGTAAAGGACCGTTTTGTCCTCTTGTGACAGGGTGGGATTCACACGTGCTTGACTTCTTTTGTTTTCTCTGCAGGGTCTCGGCTCCTGTGCTGAGATGATCCCTCCGCACTCCTCCCGCCTGCACCGCCATGGACGCCCCCTCTAACTCCTCCTCCTCTTCCTCCTCCCACTCCTCCACTGCTGTCCCCCCGGCAGACGGACAGGATGACCGGGCCGCGGGTCGGCCTGCTCAGGGCTCTCCTGCCTTGCCACCCACCAAAGAACCCCCCCTCTGGGATCCTTCCTCTTCCCCCTCGCCCTCTCCTGATGACGTCGTCATGAGACCCTGCGCCAGTGCGCAAGCCTCCGCGCTCAGCTTGGCCAAGTTCCCCGCCGCCATCTCATCCACCTCACAGCTCCAAGAGGATCCCAGCTCATCCTTGCCAAATCCGCCCCTTTTCCCTCTAGACCTGCCGCTGGCCGAAGATGGGGTCCAGCCGCAAGACCACAGAGACGAGGACGGTGGGCGCGAGGCCCAGCTCTTCTTTGCTCCCGACGGCTCGGCGTACCTCCTCGCTAGTGGCCACGTTCTCTTACCAAAGGGCTCCCCCGTCACCGCCACTCCTCAAGTGTCCATTCTCCACATCCAGGACAGTGGAGGTCCTAACCAAGGCTTTATGTCTGCTGACCAAATGTCTCAGAATACCTCAGCGCCAGGCGAGGTGATCCCTCAAGGCGCCTTCTACAGTTACCGACTGGCTGGCGCCCCAGCTCAAAGTACATCTGCCAAAAACGCTGCCACCAAATCCAAAGATGACCCCACTTCCCCCGTGGAGAATGAGGAAGCCCCCCATGGCCGAGACAAGACGATGCCAGGGGGTCCTCTCTGGCTCTGCCTGACATGCCGCCTCTCATTCAACCAGGGCCGCACCTTGGCGTCTCATGCCCGCACGGTGCACGACGTGCAGCTCAGCAACGAGGAACACCAGGACTTGGATGGAGGGGCTTCGGCTGTGCTCCAGGGCACCGACCTGGGCTTCCTAGAACCAAATAACCCCATCACCAAGGCAGACCTCAATGCCAGAATGTGTAGCAGATGGGTGAATGTAAAAGAGGAGGAGGAGGAGGAGGAAGAGGAGGAGGAAAACGAGAAGAGCCCAGAAAGACGATGCGAGCCATCAGATACCAAAGATTCAAGGGTCGGCGGCACGCACTGGGCAATCAGGTCCATGGAGGAGGAACGAGAAGAGAAGAAGGAGAAGGAAGAGGAGGAGGAGAAGGAGGTGGCGGCACAACTGGATGAAAGAAAAAAAGAGAAGGAACTGCTTCCAGACCAAAGTTCACCAGCTACATCAAGCGCACCTTTGGCTGCTAACGCCGCTCCCTCAGAGACACCGCTGAGCAAAGCCCCAAATTCTGACCACACGGGGCCACCCCAGGAGGACGTCAACAAGGACATGACCAACGACAAGCTCCCGAAAGAAGGACCGATACACAAGGTCCCTCGTGTGGACCTAGCAGACGAGATCAGCAGAGCCGAGTCCGTTCCCAAAGCCAACAGCGTTCCCAGTGACACCAACCGGACGTGCATTGGGCTGGCCCGCGACATCAGCCCCACCGACTTGTCGGATAGCCTGAGTAGTGTAGGGATGGCCAACGAAGTGGCGACGGTTGGGTTTGAGGTCAACAACGGACTTGGGAACAACAGCCACAACGGTGGAGGAGGACCGTCGCTTAGCTTCGGGGAAGATTTTACGGCGATGGCGTACTCGGGGTTGACTTTGTCGGGCCACATGTCGCTCCTGCATTCGCGCAACTCCTGCAAGACACTCAAGTGTCCCAAATGCAACTGGCATTACAAGTACCAGCAGACTCTGGACGTGCACATGAAGGAGAAACATCCGGAGAACAACAGCCACTGCGCCTACTGTAGTACCGGCGGTCCCCACCCACGACTGGCCCGCGGTGAGAGCTACAACTGCGGTTACAAACCCTACCGCTGTGAGGCCTGCAATTACTCCACCACTACAAAGGGCAACCTCAGCATCCATATGCAATCCGATAAACACCTGGCGAACCTACAGGGCTACCAAGCCACGGGAGGCAGCGGATCACCGGTGGCTCCTCCGGTGGCGCCTTCCCCGTCTTCCCCTGAGGAGAAGGAGTCGAAAGGCAAGTCGTCCTGGCAATGCAAGGTGTGCAGTTACGAGACTAACATCTCCCGTAACTTACGGATTCACATGACGTCCGAGAAGCACATGCAGAACATGTTGTTGCTCCATCAAGGGCTGCCATTGACCCTACCGGGACTTCTGGGACAACCTCAGACTCCTCCTGGAGGCAAGGCTCAGCCCGAGCTCTTTCCATTTTATGGGGCACAGGGTCTGGGCCATGCCCACCACTCTCATCCCCACCAGGCCCACGCGGGGAGCAACCCACCTCTGCGGGCAGACAAACCCATGGAACAACCCCCACTCTTGCTCAACGGAGGCTTCCAACATCTCAGTGCAGCAGGCCGGAAGATGGCTACCTTGGGGGCAGGTAAGAACCTTCCCTAGTGGACACCATTCCTGATGTCCATATGGACCTCATGGTTTTGCCCACGAGGACCCTAAGCTTGACTGTATTCCCTGTCCTGTGGTTCATCCATGGTCCACCATTACTTCAGAATCTCCACTGACATCTTGATTTGTCTCTCTTTTACATCCGTGGACATCATGTCTATGCAACGTTATGTGTTATAATCCAACTTGCTTTTCGATGCTGCGGTACCAACCTCAATTTTTAAGTAGTTTAGCAAATAGCACATATGTACCCCTTCATAGTGCTTTACAGCCTTCTCTAGTCTTTACAGCAGTGGTTCTCAACCTGTGGGTCGGGACCCCATTTGGGGTCGAACGACCATTTCACGGGGGTCGCCAAACAACCCAGTCCGCCATTTTCCCCCCCTTTTCCTTAGCTGTGCTACTCCCTTTTATTCTATTGGCTTTTGAAAGCGAATAGAATAGACTCTCTTGAATAGAGTCTAATTCTATTGGCTTTCAAAACCCAATAAGAATTGTCCAGGCTGTCTCTGCCCTGCTGAGCCCGCCAAAAGTCCCATTCTGCAAACGGTGCTGCACCAGTTGAGTAGTCCTCGACTTACGACCGGTTGGGGGTCGCGGCATTAAAAAGGTTGAGAATCACTGCTTTACAGAGTCGGCCTATTACCCCAACAATCTAGGTCCTCATTTTACTTGGAAGGATGGAAGGCTGAGTCAACCTTGAGTCGGTCAGGATAGAACTGCTGGCAGTGAGCAGTGACTTAGCCTGCAATATTGCATTCTAACCATTGAGCCATACTTTCCTCATAATTCTCACTCCTTCATAGCAGGGTTTCCCAACCGTGGGAACTTTAAGAAGTGTGGACCAACTCCCAGTATTCTGGGAGTTGAAGTCCATACATCTGAAAAGTTCCCACGGTTGGGAAACCCTGCCCTGTAGATACCCGAAACTCACAATGCCCACTTTGTTTCTCGTCTCTGCAGCCCCCACCTCTCTCTCTCCTGAACCTGCTCCCCCCTCCTCACCACCAGCCCAATCTGGACCCGATCCGCTGGCCCCCCAGAGATTGTTCAGCTGCCTGGTGTGCCAAGTCTTCAGCACAGACAGCCTGGACGCCCTCCTGCGGCACGCCTCCGCCCCACGCTCCCTGCCCGAAGTGGAATGGAAAGAAATTTCCGGGGACCTGCACCGCTGTCGCCTCTGCGCGTACGGCACCCAGTTGAAAGCCAACTTCCAGCTTCACCTGAAGACCGACAAGCACGCCTTGAAATACCAGCTGGCCGCTCACCTGCGAGAAGGGGGCAGCTTGAGTGCACACCTGGGGGTGGAGCTGCCGCTGGGACCGCCCCTTCACCTGCATTGCAACCTGTGTGAATATGAGACCAACAGCAAGGAAAAAATTCAACTTCACGCGGCGGGCAGCGGCCACCAGGAAGCCCTGCAAGGTTATAAGGTACCAAAATGGGGCAGGAGGCAGAGAAAAATAGGATGGAGAATAATAGTCGGTAGAGGTAGTCCTCGGCTTATGACCACGATGGAGCCCAGAATTTAGGTTGCTAAGTGAGACGTAGACCGAGCGAGTTTTGTCCCGTTTTACGGCTTTCCTTGCCACGTTCGCTAAGCGAATCGCTGCAGTTGTTAAACTTAGACACACAGTTGTTAAGTGAATCTGATATTCCCCCGTGGGCTTTGCTCGGTGGAAGGTCACAAAAGAGAGTCACGTGACCCCCAGGAACACGGCAACCGTCTTAAACATGAGCCAGTTCTCAAGCATCCGAATAATGTAGAATTACCTGACCGTGGGGATGCTGCAACGGACATGTGAAACACGGTCATAGGTCACTTTTTTTTCAGTGCTGCTGTAACTTCAAACGGACTTACAACTGTTGTAAGTCGAGGACTGCCTGTACAAGTGTTACTGAAAAGAGGTGCAGCAGCTGTCCCCAAAGGACATTGATTAGGTTGAATTTGAACCCTCGAAAAAGTGCAGAGAAGAGCAACACAGATGTTTAGAGGACTGGAGGCTAAAACATGCAAGGAACAGTTGCTGGAATTGGGGATGTCTAGTCTAATGAAGAGAAGGACGAGGGGGGACATGATAGCAGTGCTCCAATATCTCAGGGGCTGCCCCAAAGAAGAGGGAGTTGAGCTATTCTCAAAAGCACTGAAGGCAGGACGAGGAAGTAACGGGTGGAAGATAACAAAAAAAGTTGGAAGGTATCTTGGAGGTCTTCTAGTCCAGAGATCCCCAACCTTTTGGGCACCAGGGACCGGTTCCGTGGAGAGAGGTTTGTCCGCGGACCGGAGGATGCGTGGTTTTGTGTGCTGCCTGCGTCTCGCGGATGGGGCTTGTTTGTGCAGACCAGTTGCTGGTATGCCACAGCCCAGTACCGGTCTACGGACCAGGGGTTCGGGACCCCTGTTCTAGTTCAACCCCCTACTCAAGCAGGAGACTCTATACCACAGCGGCTCCCAACCTTTTCTATACCCCGCACCCCTCGAACGCTTCTGATATATTCTCGCACCCCCTTACAAAAGTTCGAAATAACAGCAACGAATTACGAAATATACACTACAATTTTAAAAACCCTCGTTTTCAAAACCCCTGGAATATCGTCTCACACCCCCGGTTGGGAACCCCTGCTACACCATTTCCGACAAGTGGCTGTCCAGTCTCTTCCTAAAAGCCTCCAACGATGGAACACCCACAAGTACTGAAGGCAAAGCCATTGGACTGGTTAATTGTTCTCACTGTGAGGAAGTTTCTCCTTCTTTCCAGGTTGCTTCTCTCCTTGATTCGTTTCCTTCCGTGGTTTCTTCTTCTGCCTTCTGGTCCTTTTGGAAAACAGATCATTAAAGAGAAAGCCAACCCAGGAAAGATGTCCTGACAGCGAGAACAATTAATCAATCAGTGGAACAGCTTGCTTCCGGAATTTCTGGGTGCTCCATCACTAGAGGTTTTTAAGAAAAGATCAGACAGCCTGTTGGCCGGAATTAGTACAGTCTCTCGTGTTTGAACAAGGGGGGGTTGGACTAGAAGACCTCCAAGGTCCCTTCCAGCCCTATTCTAGAAAGGGGTAGAGATGAAGGCCTCTATAAGGAGGTTTAAGTCCAAAGCGGGTATGGAGAAAAGGGGACAGACCAGTAGTCTCACTAGGAAACCAGTACCACTAGGAATGCTGATGGGGAAGACACAGGGCTGTTCTCTTAAGAACGTGCAATCCCTTTCTCGCTTCGCCCCTAGTTCCTTCTGGAAATGGAGACCACCTCGTCACCCCTGCCCGCCTCCGAACCCACGCAGTTCCGCTGCCTCCTGTGCAACACGGACGCGCCCAGCCGCCTGGCCATGATCCAGCATTTACGCTCGCCCCAGCACCGCGAGGCTCACGGCCAGTGGCGCCTCCAGCTACTGCAGAACGGCGAAGGCACGTTGGGTCTCGAAAGATACGTCTGCTTCGTGCCCGCCAACACCGCAGGTAACCGCCGCGCCGCTCGGATCACAGGCGGGATGACGCCGTGGGCCACGCCGACGGCCGTTGGGTCCCAACGGACGCGAAGAGTCGAGTTTGAGGGAGATTGATGGGTGGGGAGCAGCGGGAAAGGACCCACAAGCGCGTTCCCATGAGGAGGTCTGCAGAAGGGGACACGTTCTCGTTCCTGAGGGTGGGTGGGAATTGAGACCCCCCCTCCCCAGGGGGTAGCAAACACTGTGCAATTTCTTAAGCCTGCTGAGTGTTTAACTCCGGGTCTCGCTCCGTGGATGTTGGAGTGCAGAACCGCTGAGCGTGGTGCGTCCCCGTTCTTCCTCCTCTCTTCCAGCCCCCGCCAGCCTCCTTCTCTCCGTGCCCCCCCCCAGCTTCATAATGGATTATGACAGCTACTGGGGGAGGTTGCCTAGCAACCTGCAGGAAGAATGAAGGAGAAGAGAAATGAGACCGAGATATGTAGGCAGACCACTGCCGGGGAGATGATGAAGGGGAGGGGGTGGAAGGAAAGATATATATATTTCTCCCTCGCCCAGCTGAGGCTGCCCACCCACCCCCTTCTCCCCCCCCTTCCCGTACTGGGGAACCCTATCCAAGCGGTAGCTATTGGCCATCTTCCCAGCTCTGATTTATTGGTTGCAATCCACCTGACCTTGCGTGCTTACCTGGCAGCGGAAGTCAACAGGGATCAGCAGGACGGGAATTTTTTTAAAAAAAAAAAAATAGAGGGGAGGGGTTGCCAGTGGGCACGCGTGATTGAAAGCGGAGTGATGGCTCAGGACCATGGGCCAAAGATGTCACCTTTTGCAGAAGAGGTGAAGGGGCGGCCGGAGAGAACGGCGGCGCGTCCAGGCTAAAGCCGCGACTGAACGGGACCCGGGCGGGCTTAGGGATGCAGGAATTCTCCACGGCGAGCCGTACGTGTTGTGAGGGGGACTAGCTCCTTGTCAGTGAGAAATGGGGGTCTTTGTAACCTGGCGGGCGTATTGAGCGGTGTTAATTGAGTTGCCGATGGTAGCCGGGCTGCGTCTATCGGCCAGGGAGGCCAGCCCGTTCAATATTAACGATCCCACTCAGGTTGAGAGTTTAATTAGTCGCCGATGAGGATAAAATCCTGCATCGTGCGTCATTCAGGTTTTTCCACAGCCTTCTGGATGGGATTCCCGCCCTCTCTCTCTCTCTCTCTCTCTCTCTCTCTCTCTCTCTCTCTCTCTCTCTCTTTTGGCATCTTTTCGAGTTTGTGGTCTTCCAGGCCCCCTGGATGGTGAAAGACAGGACAAGACATGTTAGCTTATGCAAACTTGGTTTGATGCCTTAGGGAAGTGGGCGCAAACCCAGACCGGGTTACAAGTTCCAGGAAGATGGGGGGATGGTACTTCCAGCACATTGGAAAACCACCCGCTACAGGTCGTCCCCATCTTAACGACCCCATAAGTGAATCCCGAATTTCTGCTGCTAAGCGAGACGTTGGTTAAGCGAGTTTTGCCCCCTTTTACAACCTTTCCTGCTACCGTCCTTAAGCGAATCACTGCAGTTGATACATGAGTAACCCGGTGGTTAACACGAATCTGGCTTCCCCCGTTTGACTTTGCTAGACAGGTCGCGAAAGGGGGTCACATGGCCCCCGGGGACACTGCGACCGTCATAAATACTGACTAGTTTCCAAGCATCCTATTTTGATCACATGATCGCGGGGATGCTGCAGTCGTCGTAAGTATGAACCAGTTGCCAGGAGGTAAATCACATGACGCTGCAACGGTCGTAAGGGGGAAAAATGATAAGTCCCTTTTTTTTCCCACTGGGGTTTTAACTTTGAGTGGTCGCTAAATGAACTGTTGTACGTTGAGGAACGACCTGTGTTAGTTTGGGAGAACTTCGCTTCTGTCTTTTCAAATTTACCTTGATTCCCACTTTGTTGTCTCCGTTTCCAGGGAAGGAATCTGTCCTGGATAGCTTAACCCCTGAAAGAGAAAAGCAGAATAAAACGTGGATCGCTGGTGAGTAACTCCATGGGTTAATGCAACCCACGCGCCCCATACAGGTAGTCCTCTACTTACGACCACAACCGAGCTCCAGATTTCTGTCGCTAAGCGAGACGTCTGCGAAGCGAATGGTGCCCCCTTTTACGACCTGGCTTCCCTCTGTGATTAAGTAAAAATCACCGCAGTTGATAAATTCATAACCCGGTTGTTAAATGAAGCTGATCCCCCTCTCCCCATTGACTTTGCCGCAAAAAGGGGGAATCACATAACCCCGGGACGCTGGCCACCGTCGTAAATACGAACCGGTCGCCGAGCATCTGAATTTTGATCACAATGACCGTGGCAATGCTGCAACGGTCGTCAATGTGGAAAAACGATCGTGAATCAGTTTTTTCTGGTGCCGTTGTCACTTCGAAACGGTCGCTAAACGAATCGTGAGTTGGAAACCTGAGGCATTTTGTGTCAATCAATGAAAGATGGATCTTTCTTTGTCCTCCTCTGGGGAAGAGGGGGTGATGACCCCCCCCAAAAAACCCCACGGTGGGGACTCCCCATTGGGGGAAGCCTCAACCCACCGAGAGTTTTTACTCAATCCTGGTCTGAACAACAAGCCAGGATTTGGGTGGCTTCAGTTTGGGGCCTAGTTCTCGACTTAACAACCGTTCGTTTAGCGACCGTTCAGAGTTACAACGACGCTGATGAAAGTTAGAACCGTTTTTTTCCTCACACTTTAACGGCCGTTGCCGCGTCTCCCCGTGGTCGTCTGATCCAAATTCGGAACGCTTGGCAACTGACTCGTGTTTGTGACGGTGGCAGCACTCCTTGGGGGGGGGGGTCGCGTGAGGCCCTTCTGAACCGGCAAAGTCTAAGTGGGGAAAGTTGGACTCCCTTAACGACGGGGTGACTAACTTAAGTGCTGCAGGGCTTCACTTGAACAACGGTGGCCAGTGAGGTTGCAAAATGGGGCAAAAGCCCCTCAGTGAGTGTCTTGTTTAGCGAGAGAAATGTGGTGCTCAATCGTAAGTCGTAAGCCGAGGACTACGTGTGTGTGTGTGTGTGTGTGTGTGTGTGTGTGTGAGAGAGAGAGAGAGAGAGGGGGGGGGGAGAATTGCAAGTCCCAATCTCTCCCCCGCACCCACCCTTCCAGCTTCATGCAAATTGCACACTTGGTGGCCTTTCTTTTTTCTCTTTTTTCTTTCCTTTCTTTCTTTTTCTCTCTTCCTTCCCACCTCTCTTCCCTTCCCTTTTTTTCTTCTTTCCTCCTCCCAACCTCCCCCTCCCTATTATTCCCTTCTCTTTTTTCTTCTATCTCCCTTCCCCCTCATTTTCTTCCTTCCTTCCTCTTATTCCCTTCCCTTTCTTCCTTCCTCCTCCCTCCCCAATTCCCTCCTCTTCCATCCTTCTCACCTCCCCCATTATTCCCTTCCCTTTCTTCCTTTTTTCTTCCTTCCTTCTTCCTCCCTCCCCCTCCTATTTTCTTCGTTTTTTCTTTTCCTTCCTTCCCTATTCCCATCCCTTTGTTCCTTTTTCTTCCTTCCTCCCTCCCTCCTTTCCTATTCCCTCCCTCTTCTTTCCTTCCATCCTTCCTTCCTTCCCACCCCTCATTATTCCCTCCCCTTTTTTCCTCCTTCTTCCTCCCTTACCACTCCTATTTCCTTCCTTCCCTCTTTTCTTCCTTCCTTTTTCTTCCTTCCTCCTTCCCTTCACTCTCCATATTCTCTCCCTCCCTCCCTCCCTCCCTCCCATCCATCTTTCTTCCTCTTTCTTTCTTTCTTTCTTTCTTTCTTTCTTTCTTTCTTTCTTTTCTTTCTCTTTCTTTCCTCCCTCCCTCCCTCCTTCTTTCTTTCTTTTTTCCTTCCTCCCTCCCTCCCTCCCTCCTTTCTTTATTTCTTTCCTTTCTTTCCTCCCTCCCTCCCTCTTTCTTTCTTTTTTCTTTTCTCCCTCCCTCCCTCCCTCCCTCCCTTCTTTCTTTCTTTCTTCCTTTCTCCCTCCTTTATTGGCCAAATGTGGTTTTTTTTTTCCCCTCCACAGATTCCAACGAGACCGAAGTGGCAGCTTCTGGCAGCGCGGGGGACACTACGGTAAGTTGATCCGTTTCTTGGGTTTTTGTGGAGAGGGGAAGCCTTCTTAACAACACTTCTCACCATCGGTTCCCCCCCCCCCCCATGCCTGCCTTCCACCCAGATTTCGGGCTGCAGGGTCTTAACCGCCCCCCCCCCTTGCCCCTTTCCCCAAATGCACAGAAAGTAGCACAGGTCTGCCTGCCGACTCCCAGCAGGAGGGCAGATGTTTCTGAATTAAGACTAAAATTAATTAGCGTTGTCTGCGGAGGCGGAAAGGGGGGGCAAGAGAGGTGCTTCGCCCACGCAACGCCAATTGGGTGCAGTCAACTGTGAACGGAGGAGGTTAATCAGAGGAGCGCCAGGCGCTGGGGCTGCCAGCCTAGCCGAGATTCTTTCTTTCTTTCTTTCTTTCTTTCTTTCTTTCTTTCTTTCTTTCTTTCTTTCTTCCTTCCTTCCTTCCTTCCTTCCTTCCTTCCTTCCTTCTTTTTTTCTTTCTATCTTTCTTTCTTTCTTCCTTCCTTCCTTCCTTCTTTCTTTCTTTCTTTCTTTCTTTCTTTCTTTCTTTCTTTCTTTCTTTCTTTCTTTTTCCCCTCCTGTTTAAAATTATAATGACGGATTGGAGTTTTATACCGACTAATAACAGGAGCTCTGTCACGTCAAAGGGTTTTAAAAGGCCGCTCATATTTTCAGCTTCTGGAGCCCTTCTGGGCTGGGCGTTAATTGCCGGCCTTTCTGGTGGGGTGGGTGGGCTAGGGGCCTGAGGATCCAGGGGCTGGGGATGATGGCCCTTGTTTTGCCCTTTTCGGGAGTCCGGCTTTGTTCAACCAGTCACGTCCAGGTGGGGAGCTGGAAGCCCACTGCTCTCTGCTTTTGTTCAGATTCCAAGCTTCTGTCGGTCGGTCGGTCGTTTTAAGATTTTTTTTTTTTTTTTAAAGGAAAACCACTATGCAGAAGGGCGAGGGATAAGCCTCGTTGGTGTTCCAAATTGAGCAAAAATACAAATTAACTCTTGGCTCTAAGGTGGTGGATTAAGAATAACTCTGAATTCCCTCCCTCCCTCCTTCCGTCCATCCTTCCCTCCCTCCCTCCTCCCCCTTCTTTCCCTCCCTCCTTCCTTCCCTTCATTTCCTCCCTCTCCTTCCTTCCCTCCCTCCTTCCTTCCCTCCCTTCTTTCGTCCCTTCCTTCCCTCCCTCCTTTCCTCCTTTTTTCCCTCCCTCCCTGCTTCCCTCCTCCCTCCTTCCCTCCCTTCTTCTGTCCTTTTCATTTCTTCCTTCCCTCCGTCCTTCCCTCCCTCCTTCCTTTCCTTCATCCCTGCTTCCCTCCTTCCTTCATTCCCTCCCTCCCTCCCTCCCTTCTTCCATCCTTTTCATTTCCTTCCCTCTGTCCTTCCCTCCCTCCCTCCTTTCCTCCATCCCCTCCTTCCTTCATTCCCTCCCTCCTTCCCTCCCTGCCTCCCTCCCTCCTTCCTTCCCTCCCTTCTTCCGTCCTTTTCATTCCTTCCTTCCCTCCGTCCTTCCCTGCCTCCCTCCTTCCATCCCTTCATTTCCTCCCTCCCTCCTTCCTTCCCCGCCTCCTTCTGTCCCTTCATTTCCTCCCTCCCTCCTTCCCTCCCTTCCTTCCCTCCCTTCCTCCCTCCCTCCCTTCTTCCGTCCTTTTCAGTTCTTCCTTCCCTCCTTCCTTCCCTCCCTCCCTGCTTCCCTCCTTCCTTCCTTCCCTCCCTCCCTGCCTCCCTCCCTTCTTCCGTCCTTTTCAGTTCTTCCTTCCCTCCTTCCTTCCCTCCCTCCCTGCTTCCCTCCTTCCTTCCTTCCCTCCCTCCCTGCCTCCCTCCCTTCTTCCGTCCTTTTCATTCCTTCCTTCCCTCCCTCCTTCCCTGCCTCCCTCCTTCCATCCCTTCATTTCCTCCCTCCCTCCTTCCTTCCCTTCCTCCCTCCCTCCCTTCTTCCCTCCTTCCTTTCCTTCATCCCCTCCTTCCTTCCCTCCCTCCCTGCTTCCCTCCTTCCTTCCTTCCCTCCCTCCCTGCCTCCCTCCCTTCTTCCGTCCTTTTCATTCCTTCCTTCCCTCCCTCCTTCCCTTCATTTCCTCCCTCTCCTTCCTTCCCTCCCTCCTTCCTTCCCTGCCTCCCTTCTTCTGTCCCTTCCTTCATTTCCTCCTTCCCTCCCTCCTTCCCTCCCTCCCTCCCTCCTTGTGGACCCAACCAAGTCTTTTGTACATGACCCTGGCAGGCAACTCTAACCAGCTGTGACAATCACCTTATCGCTGGGATCTTTGAAGACTTGTAGACTTCAACTCCCAGAATTCCCCAGCCAGCCTTGCTGTTGCATGCCAGGTGCATGTAAAAAGAAACAAACAAACCAACCCAGTTGCAGCCACCATCTTGACTTTTTTTTCCCCAGCCTCTCCCAGATCCATCTTGGCTTGGGAAATGGCGGTTGATCGAAGCCAGCTCTGCTTTTGGGGGGGGGGGCGACTTGATCCGTTTGAACCCTTTCTGGTGTTCCGGCTACTCTCCTTTCTAATTGCTTCTGGTTTTTCTCTTTTCAATTCTTCTCGCGCTGCCCAGGTCTTCTGCTGCCCCTATTGCAACTACGCCGACCAATCAGCCGAAGCCGTGCGGGCCCACACCGTTTCCCAGCATGCCGTGCAGCCCAAGTTCCATTGCCCGCTGTGCCAAGAACAGCTGGTCGGCCGGGCCAACCTCCACTTCCACCTCAGCCACGTTCACAACGTGGTGGCCGAATGTGTGGAGAAGCTGCTGCTGGTGGTGGGTGCAAGGACCACGGGCCTCCCGGGGAGGAGGGGACCTTAGCCGCTCGCCCCCCCCCCACCATTCAGTCCGATTCTCTGCCCGCCGGACTGGGGAGACGCTCGACCTGTTGAATGCCTGCGGGCACGGTTGCCCCAAGGGGGCTCTTTTTTCGGGAGGCAGCTGGACTTCCTTCTTTTTTCTTTGAAGACGTTTCGCTTCTCATCCCAGGAAGCTTCTTCAGGTTCTGACTGGATGGGTGGGGGAATGGAAGGATTTGTACTCCTTTGCAGTCATCTGGTCATTTGTATTCTTTTAGAGCAGGGCTAGGCCACCTTGGCTCTTTTATGACTCGTGGACTTCAACTCCCAGAATTCCTGAGCCAGCCACGCTGAGGGGAAAGGGAGAGGTTTCCAAGCTGAGCCATGCTGGCTCAGGAATTCTGGGAGTTGAAGTCCACGAGTCATGAAGGGGCCAAAGTTTCCCTCATGCTGGCTCAGGAATTCTGGGAGTTGAAGTCCACGAGTCATGAAGGGGCCAAAGTTTCCCTCATGCTGGCTCAGGAATTCTGGGAGTTGAAGTCTACGAGTCATAAAAGAGCCAAGGTTGCCTACCCCTGCCCTAGACCAGAGGTGGGGAACGATGGCCCCTTTTTATGACTGGTGGACTTCAACTCCCAGAATTCCTGAGCCAGCCACGCTGAGGGGAAAGGGAGAGGTTTCCAAGCTGAGCCATGCTGGCTCAGGAATTCTGGAGTTGAAGTCCACAAGTCATAAAAAGGGGCCATCGTTCCCCACCTCTGGTCTAGGGCAGGGGTAAGCAACCTTGGCTCTTTTATGACTGGTGGACTTCAACTCCTAGAATTCCTGAGCCAGCCATGCTGAGGGGAAAGGGAGAAATTTCCAAGCTGAGCCATGGTGGCTCAGGAATTCTGGGAGTTGAAGTCCACCAGTCATCAAGGGAGCCATAGTTCCCCCATGCTGGCTGAGGAATTCTGGGAGTTGAAGTCCACGAGTCATAAAAGGGGTAGGCAACCTTGGCTCTTTTATGACTCGTGGACTTCAACTCCCAGAATTCCTGAGCCTGCATGGCTCAGCTTGGAAACCTCCCTTTTCCCTCAGCGTGGCTGACTCAGGAATTCTGGGAGTTGAAGTCCACCAGTCATGAAGAAACCAAAGTTTCCCTCATGCTGGCAGGAATTCTGGGAGTTGAAGTCCACGAGTCATAAAAGAGCCAGTGTTGCCTACCCCTGTTTTAGAGGATTGTGGAGGCCATTTGGAGGTTTATCGGTGTCCTCAGGGTCTCCTGAGTGGTGCAAATGGGTGTGGAGCCTTCTTGGGACTGTTGAAAGGACTGTGTGGTAGACTGGAGATAGATGGTGTTTGTCCCTCCCCCTCTGTTGAGGGAGGGCTGTACAGTTTTGACCTTAGATGGCCTCTTTGACCCCTTTCAAGCCAGCGGTCCTCTCTGTCCAGAATGTGGACTTTGCTGTCTTCAAAAGAGCGGCCATGGTCTTCTAAAGGCTGAATCATGTCCTGATGGGTTTGTTCTCTGGTGGGCCATGTGTTTGTGAAGTGGTTGTGTTGTTTCCCCAGTGTACAGATCTGTGTACACACAGTCCTTTGAACAGTCCCAAGAAGGCTCCACACCCGTTTGCACCATTCAGGTGACCCTGAGGACACAGATGAACCTCCAAGTGGCCTCAACAATCCTCTAAAACAGGGCTAGGCCACCTTGGCTCTTTTATGATTCGTGGACCAACTCCCAGAATTCCTGAGCCTGCATGGCTCAGCTTGGAAACCTCTCCCTTTTCCCTCAGCATGGCTGGCTCAGGAATTCTGGGAGTTGAAGTCCACGAGTCATGAAAGAGCCAAGGTTGCCTAGCCCTAGCCTAGCTCTAATCAGTTCCTTATTCCTCTGCCTGAGACAGCATGAGGGAAACTTTGGTCCCAACAGTGGACTTCAACTCCCAGAATTCCTGAGGCAGCATGAGGGAAACTTTGGCCCCTTCATGACTCGTGGATTTCAACTCCTAAAATTCCTGAGTCAGCCATGCTGAGGGAAAAGGGAGGTTTCCAAGCTGAGCCATGCTGGCTCAGGAATTCTGGGAGTTGAAGTCCAGGAGTCTTAAAGTTGCCAAGGTTGAGGACCCCTGATATAGGGCACGGGTGGGGAACCTTGGCTTTTATGACTCGTGGACTTCAACTCCCAGAATTCCCGAGCCTGCATGGCTCAGCTTGGAAACCTCTCCGTTTTCCCTCAGCATGGCTGGCTCAGGAATTCTGGGAGTTGAAGTCCACGAGTCATGAAAGAGCCAAGGTGGCCTACCCCTGCTCTAAAAGAATGCAAATGACCAGATGACTGCAAAGGAATATAAATCCTTCCATTCAGAGCTGAAGAAGCTTCTGGGACGAGAAGAGAAACGTCTCCCAAGAAAAAAAACAAGGATGCCCAGTGGCCTCCTGAAAAAAAAAAAGCACTTTTGGGATGACCTGTTGGTTGAGTGCCTGTCTTTACAGGATCGGAGAGGGAATTTGGAGCTAAGGGATGAGGGAAGATGAGCTACTTCGATGGAGGGACATTTACCGGGCCCTGTCTCTGTTTTCTACTTCAGGCCACCACGGTGGAGATGACCTTCGCCACCAGGGTCGTTCCCGGGGTCTCTCTCCCTCCTGACCCACCCAAACCGGGTGGGACCCTCGGCGTAGAACAAGAGGCTGGTCCAGAAGCCCCCGGCCCCTTTATTGGTAAATGGTTCATTTATTTCTTAATTTTTAATCTTATCTTTGTGATAAGATTATTCCACTTTTATTCCACTTTACAGGTAAGTTCTCGACTTTTTACCGCCGTTCTTTTGGCGACCGTTCAGAGTCGCAACGGCACTGGGAAAAGTGACCGAGGAGCCTTTCTCGTGCTTAATGACCGTCGCAACAGCCCCGTCGTGATCGAAATTTTGGAGGCTTGGCGACTGACTCATATTTACGACGGTTGCAGCGTCCCGGAGTCACGCGATTCCCCCTTTTGCGACCTTCTGACAAGCAAATTCAAAGGGGGGGGGGAAGCTGGATTTGCTTTGCAACTGAATTACCAACTTAACAACGACAGTGATTGGCTTAGCCAAGGTGGGAAAAAAGTTCGTAAAATGGGGCAAAACTCACAACAACCGTCTCATTTAGCAACAGAAATCTTGGGCTCAGTATTGGTCATAAGCTGAAGATTATTTCTATTTCTTTGTCCTCGTCTTGCTTCCTTCTTCTTTCATCCTCTTCCTTTAATCCTCTTCTTCCTTTCTCTTCCTCCTCCTTCCTTCCTTCTTTATCCTCCTCCTCCCTTTGTCCTTTATCCTCTTCCTTCCTCCTTCTTTATCCTCCCGTTTCTTCCTCCTTTATTCTCTTCATTCCTTCCTCCTTCTTTATCTTATTCCTTCCTTCCTCCTTTAATCTTCTTCCTCCTTTACATTCCTCTTCCTTATCTTCCTCTTTCTCCCTTCCTCATCCTTTATCCTCTTCCTCCCCCTTTATCCTCTTTTCCTTCCTCCTTTACTTTCCTTCTTTATCCTTTTCCTCCTTCCTTCCCCTTCTTTATCTTTCTCTTCCTTCCTTTCCACTTTATTCTCTTCCTTCCTTCCTCCTTTATCTTCCTCTTCCTTCCTTCATTCCCTTCCTTCCTTCCTCCTTTACGTTCCTCGTTTATCCTCTTCCTTCCTTTCTCCTTCCTTAATCCCTTCCTCCTTTATCCTCCTCTTCATTCCTCCTTCTTTATCTTCCTCTTCCTCCTTTATCCTCCTTTTCCTTCCTCCTTTATCCTCTTCCTTCCCTCCTCCTTTACCTTTTTCCTTCTTTATCCTTCTTTATCCTCCTTTTCCTCTTCCTTTATCTTCCTCTTCCTCCCTTCTTCCTCCTTTATCCTCCTCATCCTCGTCCTTCCTCCTCCACTTCCAGCAGTTTCACTAAACGTTCATGAAATTAGGATACGCAATTGGTCCTCACTTAGTGCCCAGCTCACCATTATGATGTCACAGCATCTCACCATCATGTGATCATCCTTCGGAGCCTCCAAAGTCATTGGGAAAGCTAGCGGGAGGTCACAGATGGCGGATGCAGGCAGTCCTTGACTGAAAGCCATTCATTTAGAGACTGTTGAAAGCTGCAGCATCCCGGGATCACGTGATCACCATTTGTGATCTTCCTTTCTTTCCGACAAGCAAAGTCAACGGGGGGAGGGATTCATTTAGTGACCGTGTGATTCACTTAATGACTGCAGGGATTCCCTTAATTGTGGCAAAAGTTGTAAAATTGGGCAGAACTCGCTTGGCAACTGTATTGCATAGCAACAGAAATTCTAGTCTCAGTTGCGGTCGTAAGTTGAGGACTATCTGTACTACTTTGCCTTGTTTCATTCATATCCTCGGGTCTTTTTGAGGTTTTGTTTTTTTGGTGGGGAAGGGTCTGCTGAGCAAAGGAGAGGAATCTGGGTGGGAAAATAACTTCTTAGTGTGTGAGAAAGAGATTACTTGAGTATCTGGATGGAGATTAATTTGATCTGACAGGTTATTCTAATAGCAATTAAGTCAGTGGAGAGCCAGTTTGGTGTCATGGCAAAAGCACCAGGCTAAACATCAGGGGATCTTGAGTCTGCTTATTCCCCAGAAGCAGCTGGGTGACCTCAGGCCAGTCAGTCTCCCCGGGCCCTGAGAAGCAGGCAATGCCAAATCATTTCTGAAAAATCTTGCCAAGAAAACTGTAGGGATTAGTTCAGACGGTCACCCGAAATCAGAACTGTCACTTTCAAAAGTAATTAATATAAATGCGTTTATTTTATCTTGGCCCAAAGTCACCCAGCTGGCTTTCACGCTTAAGATGGAACTAGAACTCCCAGTCTCCTGGTGATTGGCCCAGTCACCCAGCTGGCTTTCACGCTTAAGATGGAACTAGAACTCCCAGTCTCCTGGTGATTAGCCCAAAGTCACCCAGCTGGCTTTCACGCTTAAGATGGAACTAGAACTCCCAGTCTCCTGGTGATTGGCCCAAAGTCACCCAGCTGGCTTTCACACTTAAGATGGAACTAGAACTCCCAGTCTCCTGATGATTGGCCCAGTCACCCAGCTGGGCTTTCACGCTTAAGATGGAACTAGAACTCCCAGTCTCCTGGTGATTGGCCCAAAGTCACCCAGCTGGCTTTCACGCTTAAGATGGAACTAGAACTCCCAGTCTCCTGGTGATTGGCCCAAAGTCACCCAGCTGGCTTTCACACTTAAGATGGAACTAGAATTCCCAGTCTCCTGATGATTGGCCCAGTCACCCAGCTGGGCTTTCACGCTTAAGATGGAACTAGAACTCCCAGTCTCCTGGTGATTAGCCCAAAGTCACCCAGCTGGGCTTTCACGCTTAAGATGGAACTAGAAATCCCAGTCTCCTGGTGATTGGCCCAAAGTCACCCAGCTGGCTTTTATGCTTAAGATGGAACTAGAACTCCCAGTCTCCTGGTGATTAGCCCAAAGTCACCCAGCTGGCTTTCATGCTTAGGATGGAACTAGAACTCCCAGTCTCCTGGTGATTAGCCCAAAGTCACCCAGCTGGCTTTCACACTTAAGATGGAACTAGAACTCCCAGTCTCCTGATGATTGGCCCAGTCACCCAGCTGGGCTTTCACGCTTAAGATGGAACTAGAACTCCCAGTCTCCTGGTGATTAGCCCAAAGTCACCCAGCTGGGCTTTCACACTTAAGATGGAACTAGAACTCCCAGTCTCCTGGTGATTGGCCCAAAGTCACCCAGCTGGCTTTTATGCTTAAGATGGAACTAGAACTCTCACTTTCCTGGTGATTGGCCCAAAGTCAGTCAGCCACTTTTATGCCTGAGGCAGGACTAGAACTCAATGTCCCTTGGTGATTGGTCCAAAGTCAATCAGCTGGCTTTCATACCTCACACAGGACTAGAACTCACTGTCTCCTAATTACTAGCCTGCTGCCTTCATTACTAGCCAACACTGGCTCCCTTCTAAAGGGATATTGACAGTCCTGTAACTCTTTCCTCTCTTCCCTTTCCTTTCAACAGCACCAGCCGCAGAGGAGAAAGCCTCCCCGACACCGGTACTTTCCCCTGAGACCCCCCCACCCTGTGTCGCCGCCTCCCCGCCTCCTAAGGAGCAGCCCGAAAAGTCACTTCCTGCCTCGCCACCCCCACCTCCTCCTCCTCCTCCTCCTCCCGTCGTCACTCCTCAAGAGCCGGAAGAGGACGACCCTTTGCATCCAAACATGACCCCCGAAGAGCAGCCGCTGCCAGCCCCGCTCCTCGCGGACCCTCCCGAGGCCTCTCCACCCATCCTGCCTAATCTGGATTCCCGGCACCCGCTGTCCTACCGCAAGGCAACCAATTTCGCCTTGGACAAATTCTTGGATCCCGCCCGTCCCTACAAATGCACCGTTTGCAAAGAGTCCTTCACGCAGAAGAACATCCTGCTGGTGCACTATAATTCGGTCTCCCATCTCCACAAGATGAAAAAGGCCTCGGCGGACCCTACCGTGTCGTCTCGGGGGGAGCCCGGCGCCCCCGGGGCTCTCCAGCCCTCTTCAGACAAACCTTACAAGTGCACCACCTGCCGGGTCTCTTACAACCAGAGCTCCACTCTGGAGATCCACATGCGCTCCGTGTTGCACCAGACGCGCTCCCGCGTGGCCAAGATGGAAGCCGCCGGCAAGGTGGACGTGTCCCCTGCTGAGCTGGAGCCTCCCAACGACACCCCTCTGGAAACTGAGGCCCCCAGCTGCGTCCAGGTGCCTGCCCTCCCGTTTCTCACTCCACCTGCGGCAGAACTACCCCGCTTCCCTACACCCCTTTTCACCCCACCCCTGCTGCCCCCTTTTCCTCTGGTGCCGGAGTCCCTTCTTAAACTGCAGCAACAACAGCAGCAGCTGCTGCTCCCCTTTTATTTACATGACCTGAAGGTGGCCCCCAAATTGGCCTTAACCACGCCAACGCTGACCCTCCCCACCCCGTCGCCTGTCCTGCTCCCACCCCTGCCCCCCAAAGAAGAACCGGCCCCCATGGCCGCGAGTAGCTCCAAGGTAGAGGCAGCCGAAGAGACTGAAGGAGAAGAAGTAGATGGAAGTCAAGCAGGGAACGAGGCTTCTCGCACGGCCGCCAAAGCCCTTCTAGAGAATTTCGGCTTCGAGCTAGTGATCCAGTACAACGAGGGCAAACAAACCACCACCGTGCCCCCGACTGTGCCCCTGCGTCCCCCCATGGGCAAGCTGCAATGCGGCACTTGTGGGAAACAGTTCTCTAACATGCTCATCCTGAAAACCCACGAGGAGCACGTGCACCGGCGGTTCCTGCCCTTCGAGGCACTCAATCGCTATGCTGTGCAGTTCCGGAAGAGTTACGACAGCATGTATCCCCCGCCTCCTCCCGTGCTCCCAGTTGAGACAACTGCGATCACCACTACTGCAGCAGCAGCAGCAGCCGTTTCAACCGTCACCACCACCGTCCTGGAGAATACCACCGTCACTGTGACGCAATCCTCCCTGCCGCTGGAGATTCCCTCTCTCTGTCCTCCGTTTTTGATGCAACCCTTGCCGGTGGTCATGCCCCCACCAGAAAGCGAGACTCCCTGTGTACCTCCTGAATGCCTGAAGTCTCTCTGGTTTCGAGGGGAGGAAGAGGAAGGCAAGAGCGCATCGTCTGGAGTTCTGGAGCTTCCCCGCGGGAGCTTCCCCGCAACCCGACGTTTCTCTCGTACCAAATTCACCGAGTTCCAGTCACAGGCGCTGCAGTCCTTCTTTGAGTCGAGTGCTTATCCCAAAGATGGTGAGGTGGAGCGTTTGTCTGCCCTCTTGGGGTTGCCCAATCGGGTCATCGTGGTCTGGTTCCAAAATGCTCGCCAGAAAGCCCGAAAGAGCAGTGGGAACGAAGCGAGTATGGGCAACTGTGGAAACACCGCAGTGCAGCCGTCTTGTAAGAAATGTCGGACGGCCTTCCGCTGCATCTTTGAGCTGATGCGCCACCTGAAGAAGTGTTACAACAATGAGCTGGATGAGGGGGAAGAAGATGGAGGTGAGGAAGAGAATGAAGGGCCGGAGGAGGAGGAGGAGGAAGAGGAAGGGGACGAGAAACGAGAAATTTTGGACCCTAGTAGGGATATGAAGACAGATGGTATTGGAGACAAACCCGTGGAAGAAGAGCAGCCCGTCCACTCGGTACCCCCAGATATTTCCAAGAACTACCCCTGTGATCAGTGCACCGCCGTATTCTCAAGCAGCGACCTCCTCAATATTCACCGCATTAGTCACCTGCCAGCAGCTGGCCCTCCCTTGGCTTCGACTGGTCCTCAACCTCCCCTCGACACGACCCCGTTAGTATTTGGCGACCGCCCAGTCAACCCAGATCCTTCACGTGCACAAAAGCGAAAACACGAGGATGGGACCTTGTCTCCCACCGGAAGTGAAACTGCCAGTGTTGTCGGGGGAGATAATGAGCCCCCCAGGGACAAGCGTCTCCGTACCACCATTTTGCCTGAGCAACTGGAGATTCTCTACCGCTGGTACATGCAAGATTCGAACCCCACCCGGAAAATGCTCGACTGCATCTCTGAGGAAGTTGGGCTGAAAAAGAGAGTGGTCCAAGTGTGGTTCCAGAACACAAGAGCTCGTGAGCGAAAGGGCCAGTTCCGCTGTAATACCAGTGTCACCACTCCAACCAGCAAGCCTCCACCAACACAACCCAACACTTTCCCAAAGTTCAACCCTCCACCACGGGACACCCCTGTCCATTATGGTGGGTCCTTCACACCCAACCTCCCTGTGGTTAACCTCCAGCCCCTTCTAACTAAGCCAGAAGTTGTCATGGAACCACAGAGCCTGGAAGAAATGGCTGAAGAAGTCCCCAAGGAGCACGAAGACCGAAGCTTGTCTGGAGGAGAGCTGAGCGATTCTTCCTCCTCTTCCTCCTCGGCTGACCTGGACTTCTCCGGTGGCCACCGGAATCGAACGATGGATGGAGGTTCTGGAGAGTTTCACGATTCTTTCGGGCAGAGACGGTATCGCACCCAGATGTCCAGCCTCCAGCTGAAGATCATGAAGGTGTGCTATGGGATCTATCGAACCCCAACCATGCAGGAGTGCGAGGTGCTGGGGGAGGAGATAGGACTCCCCAAACGGGTGATCCAGGTCTGGTTTCAGAACGCGCGGGCGAAAGAGAAAAAGGCCAAGGCTGCTTCCGGCGGGACCAGTGGCGGTGACGAGGCCCCCTCCGCTGCTCAGGCTCCATCTGAATGCCCCTACTGTGAAGTCAAGTACGATTTCTACGTCTCTTGTCGTGGGCATCTCTTTTCTCGTGGCCACCTAGCTCGGCTAAAGGAGGCCATCAAATCCCAGCTTAAGAGTGAGAGCAAGCGCTACGAGCTGGTGTCAGACAAAGGAGCACCTTCCCCAACCAGGCTGGGAGTGCCGGTGACTCCTACAGCCGTGCCATCTTCTCTTGGGACCAAGCCCCCCTTTGTGCCAGGTGAGTGGGATTGTAGAACGGCGGGCATCCAAGGATCGTTGTAGAGCAGTGATGGCGAACCTTTTAGAGACCGAGTGCCCAAACTGCAACCCCAAACCCACTTATTTATTGCCGGGTGCCAGGTGGGTGTGGCCCACTGGGTGGGCGTGGCTGTGGTGGTCATGGCAGACTGGGTGGGTGTGGCTAAGGTGGGCGTGGTCACCTCGATGTTGCTCATGGGGAGGGATGCCTGTGAGGGCCGGGCAGGGTTGGGGGAGATCCAGGGGGTCTCTGGTAGGTGGGGTGGTGGGTAGGAGGCTCGTCCTGCGAGGTGAGGTGAGGCAGGGTGGGGGTGCCATTATCTCAGGGCAAGGCAAGGCAGGGGCCGGGGCAGCTGCTGCCTGACACCATCGGCCCCCGCACACAGAGGCCAGCATGGGGGGCCGACAGTGTCCGTCAGCAGCCGCAGCCTGCCGGCCCCTCAACCGGCACACTCTGGGGCTCTGCAGCCCGCCACCAGCAATTCAGAGAAGTGCCCACAGAGAGGGCTCTGAGTGCCGCCTCTGGCACGCGTGCCACAGGTTCGCCACCACTGTTGTAGCGCCTCGGAGTTGAGTTGCACAGTGGGCTTTACTGTCCAGTGCACTGTACTCTACAACGTACTGTACGTTTAGTGTAGAACGCCCTCCCTGCTGTAGGAACGCCCCGTTCTGATCTTTCCAGGAACACCGTTGATGTTCCACGGTGTCCTCCAGCATTTCCCAAATTCTAAGTTCTGCTCCACGTTTGACCTGGAAGGTTGGCCTACCCGCATTTTTATTTTCTGGTTTCCTTCTCTGGTTCGTTAATCCTCATTTTCACTTTGGTACTTTCCATCCTTTAACCTTCTTGCTCTTTTTTTGTGAGGGGGGGGGAGGGAAATGATTATATATGCAGAAAGCCGAGGAATTTCCCATCCTCTCCTCCATTTTTGCATCGAGGACTGCTGGTGGACTCCCGTTTCGTAGTAGTGAGGTTGGAGGAGAGGAAATGGTCAACCTGTAAAGGCGGGACGATGGTTTTGCAATTGGAACCAGGGGAAAAAAAGGGGGGAGGCCTTTGGAAAGGACACACGTCCCCAATGAGCGAGAGAAGCCTTCCTCGATTCACCTCTCTTTTTTCTCCCACCCCAACAGGCACGCCTGCTTCTTCTGCGGGGATCCTGAGCACCCCTTTGACCTCCTCTCAGCCAGGCCTCTCCTTACCTCAGCATCTGCCGCCCGAATCTGGCCAGGTCGGCCCCTTAACTGAGCCTGTTCCTGCTCCCGAGACCTCCCCAAGTGACAGTCAGGCTGAACTGACTTCAAATTCAGTCCAGGAGCCCTCCTTGTCCTCTGCTGTCACGCTGAAGAACCTCAAGACATTGAAGGCTGCAGTGCCGGCCCTGCTGGGAGGCCAGTTCCTGCCCTTCCCGTTGCCAGCAGCGGCCACTGCAGCCGCAGCCGCCCCCTCTCTTTTCGGAGCACAACTGCCCGGGGCGTACTTTCAGCAGCTCTACGGCATGAAGAAGGGGCTGTTCCCCATGAACCCCGTCATACCTCAGACACTTATGGGGCTGCTGCCCAGCCCCCTGCTCCCAACACCCACACCTGAGCCCCCCGTCGAGGTGTCCGAGGCTCCCGGCATCTCTACAGTCGACGTGACCCACCAGTACCTTTGTCGCCAGTGCAAGGCCGCCTTCGAGAGCGAGGGGGCAGCTGTCGCCCATCAAGCCGCGCTCTGCTACTTCGGGCGCCAGTCGCCGGCCGCGCCACCTCCGCTGCGCGTGCCCGTGTGCACCTACCACTGCCTGGCCTGCGAGGTCCTCGTGAGTGGCCGGGAGGCGTTGGGAGCCCACCTGCGCTCCAGCGCTCACCGGCGCAAGGCCAGCTCCACCACAGCAACCGCATCGGTGTTTGCCAAAGAGGAATCCAAATTACCTCACTCGGACTCCAATCCAAAAAGTAACTCTACCTCGACGACACTACTAGCTTTATAGAGATGGATGCTATACTGCCGCCAATGGAGAGAGATTGACTAGCGAACGGACCTGTGGGTGGGTGGACGCCTGCGTGGACCACCCCTCTACTTCCACCCAACCGTCCTTCAAGGTTCATTTCAGACCTAGGTGCCCCCATTTCTCACTGCCAGCCACGAGGTTTTCTCAAGAGGGATACTCCTTGTGTCCCCTCCCCAGGCTGACTTCAAGGGCCCAGGTCCCCGTTGCAATTTTCATTCCAAAGGTCACTCCGCTTCCACAGAGTGACCGGAGGTTGAGCTGAACAGCAACTCGTCCACTGAGGTCCTTACTAAGCTTCATCTTTAGAGGGTACCCAATTCAACCCTGGCTGTTGCACATGTTCTCCTACTACCGTAGCTTTTCTTCACACTGAACTGTTCTGTCCTTCCTCCCACTTAGAGGTCTCCCTGAGGACCTGTTGATGCGAATTCCCTACCTCTTCCCCCTCTCCCGGGTCACGAGATTGTGTGGCCAGATCCAATGAGATCGACAGCCCGTGATCTCGCCTCTTCCTGCTTCCTCCATACTTTCCTTCCCACCTTTTTCTGTACTCCTGAGTCTTCCGCCTCCTGTGCTACAGACGGGTCCCTCTCTTGAAAAAAAGGCTCCAGAGTGACATCTTCAACCTCTTTCCCACCTGCCAGGAACATCTCAAGACGTTTCCTCCTATTTTAATGACGCCGAGAGATTGGGATGTCCCCCTCCTTTTATAGTATCCAAACCACGTCACCCATCTTCACATCGGCGTTCCAAAATTCTTCACCCACGTGTCCCATAACTCCGTTTGCCCTACCGCAGGTGGCCCCCAAACCCTCCCTTTGACCCATCGGTGCTACCATCTCTCTTGATCTCTTTCATTCACCCCGTTGAAGACAGTTGCTGGCCAATCTTGACGTCCACCACCCTATACTCAAAAGTCTCCTCTCTCACGCACACACTTACACACCTTTACATCTCCCCGCCCCCTTCCATAAAAGCTCCTTCTCTTAACACTTAACCTTCTACTCTTTTACTGCGTTACCGACGGGGAAAACAAAAAGGCCAAAAACAAAACAGAAAGAATGGACAAGAAAAAGAAAAGAAGAAAAAAAAAAGGAGATAAACCCGAGGAGATGAAATTTAAGATGGGGGAGGGATTAAGTGAGAAATTCAGTCTCCCCACATCAACCTAACACCAACCCTCAACAAAGCATGTGCTGCCCATTTTTGTATATTAATGACCATCAAGGACAAATTCCTGAACTGTTGATGGATTTGATCGGCAACCAAACAGGGCGAGAGTTTTCTCTTTCCCGTAATTTTTTTTTCTTTTTTTCGTCTCTCTCCTCTTCCTTTTTCCCACCCCACCCCAGCTGGGTCTTTTCTGGTCCTGGGGAACCAAATAAAACCCGACAACCTCAACTGTCTTTTTCCTCCTGATAGACGACAAGTTCTGTCTCGGCGCGGGGAAACGACGCAAAAAACCTACTCCGATGGCTTTAAAAAAAAATAAAAACTAAAAAAAAAATAGAGAGAGAGAAAGAACACTGAATGACTGACTGACTCTCGTCAAACACGCAGACGCCGCTCCGGGCGCTGCGTGCTGACAAACCTTGCAAAAAACGAAGAAAAAAAAATACTCAAAAAACCCTCTTTAGGAATCCAAAGCTCTTAAAAAAAAAAAAAACTTCTATACAATAACCAAAAAAAAAAAAAAAAGGAGAGAGAGAACACCCACCATCACCAACAACAAAAAGTCATAAAAAGCAAACTGGAAATAATTTTCCTTTAAAAAAAAAAGACTTAAGATGAAGGAGAAGAAAAAAAAAATTAAACCCGTCGCGTTCTTTCCTGCTTTTGTAACACTTAATTTTGGGAGGGGACGATCTTTTGATTCCCTCCCCACAGTGTATTTTGTATTCCCTCACAAACGGACGTGAATTTTTAAGAACTGGACGAAGAAGATGGAAACTCGTGGGTTTAAAGAAGGAGACGCAAAAATAATAATAATGGAAAACCCACCGCCCTTACACAGATACCAAACAAACTACAAGGGGGGGGGGAGTGCTGAACGGAAGAACAGCCGATCCGTCACCCCGTTCTCAACTCTCCTTCGCCCCACAACTCCACACCCCAGAACTGGGGGGGGGGGGATTTGTCTTTCTGTTGTGTATTTAAGGTGAGGGGGTGGGAAGGTTGGGGAATGACTTAAAAAAATTATATTAAAGAAAACCATCTCGAAGGAAAAGAAAAGATCAAATGCAAGATGATTGAGATAAAAAAAAGGGACTGTCGGGATTATTATTTTTTTTTTCTTTCGGTTGGATTCCTCCTTTAAGGCGTTGTGGGTCAGTGTGCAAACGCACCCGGGTTTTTGTTGAGAACGGAGGAGTGTGTAAAACATTTCCCTTCCAGAGCGTGCTGACCACAGACTGGCTTGAGAATACAGGCGATCCTCGACTTAACGACCATTTGTTTCTCACACTTCACAACCGCTGTCGAAGCCCTGCAGTCACGCGATCACGATTTGATTGCTTGGTCACAGCGCTTAAGACTTATATACCGCTTCATAGTGCTTTACAGCCCTTTCTAAGCGGGTTACAGTGTTGGCATATTGTCCCCCCCCCCAAAAAAACCATAATCTGGGTCCTCATTTTACCGACCTCGTAAGGATGGAAGGCTGATTCAACTTTGAGCCTGGTTCGGATCGAGCTCCCGGCAGTGGGCAGAGTTTGCCTGCAATATTGCATTGTAACCACTGCACCACCCCATCTGGTGCATTCATTTAATGCATTTATTATGATCGTGACAACATCTCACCTTCTTGTGATTGTCATTTGTGACCTTCCCCAGCCAGCTTCTCACAAGCTGGCAGGGAAGGTTGCAAGTTGTGATCATGTGAAGCCTCACTGCACCGCTTAACGGTGAATGTTCCGGTTCCTGTCATCGTAAGTCGAGGACTACCTGTAATACACTTCTGTAGCAGCCCTTTTCCAAAATCAGGATGTCCGGTAATGAAAACTTTTGTGCTGCATTTCAGGTGTAGCCTGTTTTTCTTGCACATTCATAATCTCATTTCCAAAAAATCTTGAAAGTATCCAGAAATAATTCATTTTTAGGAAAACGAATTATGGTTTGTTGTTGCAATGCATCATGGGGATGAATTGATAGGGCAGGGGATTTCAGTCTTGATAGCTTTTAAGCCTTGTGGACTTCAGCTCCCAGAATTCCCTAGCCCAGGGGCAGGCAACCTTGGCCCCTTCATGACTCGTGGACTTCAACTCCCAGAATTCCTGAGCCAGCATGAGGGAAACTTTGGCCCCGTCATGACTCGTGGACTTCAACTCCCAGAATTCCTGAGCCAGCATAGCTCAGCTTGGAAACCTCTCCCTTTCCCCTCAGCATGGTTGACTCAGGAATTCTGGGAGTTGAAGTCCACCAGTCATAAAAGAGCCAAGGTTGCCTACCCCTGTCCAAATGCCTGAATTTTGATCACGTGACTGTGAGGAAAAAATATTTAAATATTTAAACCAGGGGTCTTAAAAACTTGGCCCTTTTATGACTCGTGGACTCCCAACTCCCAGAATTCCTGAGCCAGCATGGGGGAACTATGGCCCCCTCATGACTCGTGGACTTCAACTCCCAGAATTCCTCAGCCAGCATGGCTCAGCTTGGAAACCTCTCCCTTTCCCCTCAGCTTCGCTGGCTCAGGAATTCTGGGAGTTGAAGTCCACGAATCATAAAAGAGCCAAGGTTGCCTACTCCTGCCCTCGCCAGCAAGACTGGCTGAAGAATTCTAGGAAATGAAGTCCCCAGGTCTGAAAGCCGCCATGTTTAGAGATCCCTGAAATAGGGTCAAATCAGAAAAGATGCTGTTTTCATCTCCTGCCGAGACAGAAATGGCGGTAGCCGATGGACTGCAACATGCAGCAAATCGTATCTGTGCTAAGGAGCAGAACAACCCCGAAAAATTATTTGAAAAATACACAATAGCCAAAGAACAGATCGTCCTCAATTTACGACCGTTCAGTTAGGGATTGTTCAAAGCTACAATAGCGCTGAAAAAAAGTGACTGACAAACGCCCTCACACTTAATGGCTGTCGCAGCGTCCCAATAATCAGCATGATTAAAATGCAGGCCACTGGCATGTACCTATGACGGTTGCAGTGTGCTGGGCTCATGTGATCTCCTTTTGTGACTTTCTGAGGAGCAAAGTCAATGGGAAAGCTGGAGTCACTTAACACCTGTCTTGTTAACGTTACCACTGTGGGCCACTGGCATGTACTTAGGACTGTTGCAGTGTGCTGAGTCATGTGATCTCCTTTTGTGATCTGACGAGCAAAATCAGCGGGGAAACCGGATTCACTTAATTACCATGGCAAGATGGGTGGTAGGACGGGGCAAACCTCATTTAAGGACTTGTCTCGCTTAGTGACAGAACGTGGTCATAAATCGAGGACTAACTGAATTTTGGCCTAATTGTCCACCTTAGTTCTTTCAAGTCCTGGTTCCCTGATTCCACCGGGCTGTATGTGACTTAATTGGGGGAAGTTTCCCAAAACACTGAAGCATAAGCAAATCAACCTTTTGGATTAACCTGACAGGATAAGTCGCAGAAGAAAACTAACCAAGGTTACTGCTAACCAGCTTTGGGATGTCACCCCTGTAGTCCTCTACAGGTCATTGAATGAAAATGTGGGCCTCTCTGCCTTCCTGGTAGGCAACCTTGGCTCTTTTATGACTCATGGACTTCAACTCCCAGAATTCCTGAGCCATGGCTCAGCTTGGAAACCTCTCCCTTTCCCCTCAGCATGGCTAGCTCAGGAATTCTGGGAGTTGAAGTCCACGAGTCATAAAAGAGCCAAGGTTGCCTACCCCTACGGCTGTCATGGGTGATTGTCACCCATAACGTCTCGTAATGTTGATAACTATCAAGTTGAACTTCAATTCCCAGAATTCCTCAACCATCCTTATCGGGGATGTTTTAAATACATAGAATGATTTCCCAGAATTCCCTAGCAAGCGAAGTCTTTCCTGAGAATTCTGGGACTCGGTCCACACAGTTTAATAGTGTCAAGGTTACCTTAGTCTACCTCAGCGTTTCTCAACTTTGGCAGCTTTAAGATGCCTGGACTTCAACTCCCAGAATTCTCAGCATTGCTGGCTGGAGAATTCTGGGAATTGAAGTCCAGACATCTTGAAGTTGCCATGGGTGAAAAGCACGGTTCTGGATTCAATCATCTCTCGAAATTTTTCCTCAACTTTCCCAGCAAAATAAGAAACTGAGAAAAAACAGAAGATTTGCTCTTGAAATAATACAAAATACATACAAAATCAGGGCCAAACAGCGGGAAGTGAGCGAGACGAGATATTTAGGTGTCTGAGAATTCCTTTTTTGGAAAATGAGTTTCTAGTCCTCATGAGGAGCCAAAATAAAACCGGCTGGTAGAAGAAAAGCTCAAAAGCATTTTAAAAGGATTTTGAACAACCACAACAAAAATGGTAGCACAAATTAATGCATCATCATTGCAGGTTGTCTACATCTGCTTGGATGCCTTGCATAGTAACGCAACATGGAGGAAAAAGCGATGCTCTGATTGGGACACGTTCCCAAGATAATCTCAAGCCTTTTTACTGTACAGGTAGTCCTCAACCTGCGACCACAATTGGAGTCCGAAGTTTCTGTCGCTAAGTGAAACTTGGTTAAGTGAATTTTGCCCCACTTTACGGCCTTTCTTGTCGCGATTGTTAAGTGAATCACTGCAGTTGTTAGTGACATGCTTGTTCGGCAATCTGGCTTCCCCGTTGATTCTGCTCGTCGGATGATCGCAAAAGGGGATCAAGTGACCCTGGAATTCTCCGTCGACCGTCATAAATAGGAGTCAGTTGCCAAGTGTCTGAATTTTGATCGCATGGCCATGGAGATGCTGCAACAGCCAAAAGTGTGAAAAACGGCCACAAGTCACTTTTTTTCAGTGGTATTTTAACTTAATGGTCGCTGAATGAACTTGTAAGTCGAGGATTACCTATATTGAACTGGTCCTGCAGTCTGATTTGAAGCACAATTGATAAAATCCTTTTCTTGAACCCTAACTTAACCTTTGGAACAGTGGTTCTCAACCTGTGGGTCGGGACCCTATTTGGGGTCGAATAACCATTTCACGGGGGTCGCCAAACAACGCAGTCCGCCATTTTTTCTCCCCTTTTCCTTAGCTGTGCTACTCCCTTTTATTCTATTGGCTTTTGAAAGCCAATAGAATAGACTCTCTTGAATAGAGTCTAATTCTATTGGCTTTCAAAAGCCAATAGGAATTGTCCAGGCTGTCTCTGCCCTGCTGAGCCCGCCAAAAGTCCCATTCTGCAAATGGTGCTGCACCAGTTGAGTAGTCCTCGACTTACGACTGGTTGAGTAGTCCTCGACTTACGACCGGTTGGGGGGTCGCGGCATTAAAAAGGTTGAGAACCACTGCTTTGGAAGGTGCCAAAATTAAACAAAAATTCCTTATTCACAGAAAAACCAATATATTATCGACAGAAATGTTCTAGACCAGGGGTTTTCAAAGTTGGCCCTTTGATGACTTCTGGACTTCAACTCCCAGAATTCCTCAGCCAGCGTGCCTCGCTGAGGAGTTCTGGGAGTTGAAGTCCACAAGTCATGAAAGGACCAAGTTTGAAGACCCCTGCTTTTCGACTTCAACTCCCAGAATTCCTCAGCTAG